TGAGTGCAGCTTTTACCTGAATAAAAGCCTGCTGGCATGGCTTCATCCACTGGACCAGATCTGGCACTCCCTTTTTAGTGAGATCAGTCACTGGACTGGTGACATTCAAATAATTAGGCACAAACCTATGATAATAACCAGCCAGCCCCAGAAACTGTCTTACCTCCTTTTCAGTCTTGGGTCTCAGGCAGGCTGCAATCGCTGCTGTCTTATCAATTTGGGGACACACCAAGAGGAAGCCCAGATACCGTACTTGCCATGTGACCTCGAAGGGTCCTTGTGACTTGGCAAGTAATTTGGAGCTCAATGTGGGTAATAATACGAGCACTTTATCTCCCTGTGAGAACTCACATAACTGAGCACCCCTATTATACAGCCAGGATTGACATTCTTGGACCAACATCTCCACCTCCATCAAGTGGCATTGTTCTCCTGCAACGCCTGTTGTTTCTCAAGAACTGTAAAGCTGATCAAGCTGAAATTTGGTAGTGTGCATCTATGTGCTAATCTATAAGTGGATTTTTCATGATCATTAATTGCTGAAAATACATGGCCACCATCAGCCAATCAGGCTTTTTTTTGACAAGCTTCCCATTAAGCTATTGTCATGAAACTTGAATGGTAGTTTTAGGGAGGGACCTACTAGTAGCTGATGCAGTCTCACTCGAATTGGCCACTGGGGTGCTATTCATATTCATAGAGGTTGTAGTTAAGTTCAAATAGCTGTTTTTTTCAGGAATCAACAGGCATTTTAAATAACTAGCATTGAAGTATCATCAAAAAACTTGATAATTATGTTCATGTGTGGTCTCGTTATGGTTCTATGTATCTTGGTAAGAACTGGCCACTGGGGCACTACTTGTGAGGAATGCTTGGACCCCGCAGATTGCCACTTGTGGCTGTATTTTAGGAGCCAAGCACATTGTGTTTCATAAAAAATCCCTAATGTTTTCATTATGATTTTTCTTCATCTTCTTCTTTTTCTCTGGCAAAACTGATCATGCAGACCGTAGGTCCTACAGACATGAAACTTGGTCAGTATGTAGTACTCCCTCCCGCTACTCAGGCAAGAGAGTTTCTTGGGGTCTCATACTTATTTCTTGGGGTATCCTGAACAAAAAAGCCTCAAGAATCATTAGCTCTGCCCACTTTGATTTTTTTTTTTTTTTTTTTTTGCTAAATTGCGTAATATGCAAAAGAACTTGTCCTAGACTTTTTGTCCTATCTTCACAATTTTGGTCATCAGTTCTAATGAGATGGAGTACAATTTACTCAAACAGCTCTACCATGTGAGTTTTTACATGGATTTAAAAGAATCCCTGTTGATACATCATAGTACTTGCTGTGTAATTTATATATGAATTTCATATTTGTATATTTTCCTTTCTTTGTAGTTTCACACTTTGCATGATAAAACTTAATAAACCACATCTTTGTGTCTATGGAGTTTATTATGGAGGTGTTTAGCGGCTGGATAGCTGGGTTAATGCAAAACATCCAGTGAGGCCAGTGACAGGTCATTTGCAAAGCATGGTCATTGTACTGTTCTCTGTACTGTTCTCCTTGAATGTATGAACACAATTTAACAGCCAGCCAAACTCCATCCATAAAGTACAGACAAGTCAGGATTCATCTTAGTCTTTGCCATTTAATAAGATGCCGGGTACATTTTGAATTAGGAGTAAAACTGTAAAGAACAGCAAACAAACAGGAAATCAGAAGAAATTATCCAATGACTAAAGAATATTCATGTTAGTAGTTCTGAAACATATATCTGAAAATTTCCCCAAATGAAATCAATGTAATCAATTTACTTAAATGAGATTATCAGATAACCAAGCAAATTAACAACAAATACAGACATTGCCTTGTATAGAGAGGTTATCTTATCAAGGTTAATTAGAATTAACACATTGAGTGCCATATCAAAGAAAGGCTAGGCTAATAGTTAACGGCTATCGCCAGAATGACATTAAATCCACCAAATACACCTGATATCACAAATACACAAATGTGTGTTAAAAAGGCTGTGGTCCCTTTAAATGGACTTGACTGAATTGACCAATCAGAGTGTGCCACTGATGCCCCTTTTCCACTGACACGGTTCTGGTGCGGGTTCCTGGCCTGTGCCAGTTTGCAAACTGTTCCGTGTGTTTCCACCACAGAGAAGGTGGTTCCAGGCCGGAAAAATCAGTTCACCCCCAGAGGGTCAGCAGGGAAACCAAGCTTAAACGTTTGTAAAATTACAAACTTTTTCAATAACATTTTGTGGAGATTGATTGTGATACCTGTGTTTTATTTCTTTTTATTGTTTGCACTTGTTTACTTCATTGTACCTGCTTACCTCATTGTTCTTGTTTACATTTGCACATGTTCCTGTATTTATTTTGATACAAATTATATAAATAAATCTTTTCGCACAACAATTCTTGGAACAGTCATTATTATGTGAAGGAAGGAAACAATAGTAAACAATAGTAAAATAGAAACAACAATCTCAGTTCAACAATTTCACCCTTCCTATGTGTTGAAGCACTGTAACAATGCAGTTCGTACATCATTTCCTTCTTTTTGTCCATGCTGAGGTAAAGCCTGGAAAGGTGGCTGCATGTTCACATGCGCAGCTGAATTGTCCTCATAATAGTAATCTTCAAGCTCCTCACAGATATTGTGTAGCACACAGTCAGCACCATTTTCTTAATCAGCTCCAGTTTACAGTCATTCCTTTTTTGTAGACACCTCCGTCGTCTTTTTAACCTCCCAAAACTCATCTCCACAATTGACCTTGCTTGACTCACCCTGTAATTGTACTGTAATTGCTGCTGTGGAGTTTATCAGCCAGTGTCAGAAAATGGTTTTGTGAGCCAGTTCTGCTGAGGGTAAGCTGGGTCCTCAATCAAGTAGTAGCCAGCATCACAGCCAGAGATGCTGACTTGGCTAAACATATGTCCATCTCCTAACATGTCTCACTAAGATGATTGTCTGAGGATTCTTGCATCATGCACACTCCTAGAATAGCCAGCACACAAATCCCAGAAGAGTCCATTCCCACTGCATGCAGTACTATAGAATGCCTTTTTTATTAAAATAGTCATTATGATACTCTTCGGGTGCTATAATAGGTACGTAGCTTCCATCAATCGCACCAACACAGGTGCCATCTCTACCAGCTTAGCAGAATCAGGGAATTGTATGTGTATCGCCAGAAGCTCTTTAAGTACTACATTACAGAAGTCCTGCACACAGTTAAATACTGTGGTTATGCCTACCCCAAAAAGGTGACTCACACTTCTGTACTCGCTGCTGGTGGCCAGCTTCCAAAGGGCAAAGGGGACTCGGTTTTGAGGAGCATACACAAACGATAATTTTTGTTTCTTCATTCCAGTTCATGCCTCAGACGGTCACATATGTAATCAAAAGCCTCCCTTGAGACTAAAAATCTTGATGAACTGGGCCGGAGTGAATTCAGGAACAATGGTGCCCCACCGATGAAGCGCACATGGATATGCCCACACTGCAGATGTCCCCCTTCTCATCAACCTATCTATCTGTTAAATAAAACAGTGGTATTCTCAGGTATTCTCAAAGCCGTAAAGATAATATAAATGGCAATGAGAATACACCTTCCATTGTTTCGATTTACAGTATCTAGCTCACTCACTAGCTAGCAAAGTTGTACTAAAATAAATACAAAATAAAGATTTAACTCATTACCTGCCGTCTTGAGCGTAGACGTTGTCGATAGAAGTCACGTTGACCAATGTAATAACAATGCATTACATTTCTCTGTATGTTCACAAAAATTCTCAAAAACGTGAGTAACAGCTGCACACAAACACCGTGACACGCCCTGTTGGCTTTTGGACTGGTTACGTAGTCACATAAACAACACATAGTAATGTAACCCGTTACGTCACCATTCATTTCTCAAGTCTGTGGAAACTCGTGGCCAGTTCGGTGGAAAAGAGGTATGAGTAGACTCTTGAATGTTTCAAGAACCACTGATCACAAAGTTTATTTAGTCTGTTAAGTTTATTTAGCAGTTACTTTACTTACCTTCAGTAATCTGTAGTGTGTGCATATTAAGTATGTAGGACTGTGCTATTTTTATTGTTGTTTTTCTAATTACGCTGAATGCATAATATGGTAATATTAAATCTAAACAGTGATCTTATTTTTGGCAGGGCAGTGTAGGAT